CGTTCATCCTGGTGGTCAGGGCAGCCCTGGGTGTGCCCCGTGGACAGAACAGGCCCTGCTGGATTTCCAGCCTCTCAGCTTGCAGTCACTTTCCAGTTGCTTCCACCTGTTTCTTGGGGTCTTGTAGTTCGCCGCATTTATATCCTCCATCCCCTCCCCCTTACAGCTGCAGAGCCCTGGTGGCTTTCTCTCTGGGGTCAACAGTGTGCTCCCTATCCTGAATGGAGGCAAGTGTTTCCTTCTGAGAGCGCTCTGGTTTGAGCCTTTCTTGGCCTCCAGAGCTGACCCTGGTACTTCAGTGCTTCCCTGTCGGTCCCTTGTCTGATGGCCAGGTGACCCCTTACATTAGGACCCTGAGCACCGCTTTTTGCAGTATGGGTCCGTCGGGGACAAAAATTTGGCTCTGAGACCAAATGTCCTCTAGGCACTTTATGACCAGAGTCTCCAAGAGAGAAAGTTCAGGACAGATGCCCCTCCCACCTTTGGTTTGGCCTGACCCTCCTTCAGCCATTGTGGCCCCAGGACGCCCGCCCCTCGCTCCCCAGGCAGAGGAACTGCGGGCTAGATGTGCAGGCGCTGCTCTGGGAGCTTGCTGAGGGATGGTTGGGTTTTCTCAGTCTTAGTCCTTGGTTGAATTTCCCTTCTCTCTTTTTTCCCTCCCCCTTCCAAAGCCCAGGCTTATTGCAGGGACATGTCTGCAGCACCTGGGGACCGGAGCTGTCCTTCCCCTGTGCTGGTGGGCGCTGTTTTCCTCCCTGTTGTGAGAAGGAGGGGCCTGGGTATGGGAGGTGGGGCGCAGGCAGGGGTTCCCCTGGTGTGTACAGAAACCTGGTGATGTTAGGAGGACCCAGTGTCTGTTTGGGAAGTTTCCTTCAGAGGAGTAAAAATACCCTACAGGCACCTCTGGGACACCTCCCCCTCTCCCAGACAGTCACAGTAGAGCTGACTCAATGCCTCCTCTGTGTGGTGTCAAACTCCTGTGCCCCAGGAGCAGGTGGCTGGCAAGAAGGGAACAGCAGTGTCGCCCAGGTCTCACTCCTCTTCCTCTCCCCTCCAGATTGAGTTTGTGACAGGCACCAAGAAAGGCACGACGACCAACGCCACGGCCACCACCACCACCACGGCCAGCACAGCTGTTGCAGGTAGAAGGAAGTGTCTCTGTTTTCAGCTACACCAGATGGAGTGAGGGTTTTCCTACCCTGTGTGGGAGCACAGACCCTACGGGGACCTGGGCCTCAGCTCCCCCGTTGCTGTGTGTTTCTGAGCCCAGGGTTTGCGAGCCAGCTCTGGAGGCCAGCCGGGCTTGGGTCCCCGGTCACTGGCTGCCCCCTGGCTTTCTGTGACCAGGCCCTTCGGTTTCTGTTCGCTAGGCTCTGGCCTCTAGCCTCCTGAGAAGGGAGGGGGTTGCTCTTTGCCATATCTGGGTCCTCACTTCTCTCTCGCCTTATCCCCAGATGCCCAAAAGAGAAAGAGCAAGTGGGACTCAGCCATCCCTGTGACAACCATAGCCCAGCCCACCATTCTTACCACCACGGCAACCCTGCCGGCTGTCGTCACAGTGACCACCAGTGCCAGTGGCTCCAAGACTACCGTGATCTCAGCCGTGGGCACCATTGTGAAGAAGGCCAAGCAGTGACCCAGGGGACCAGCTTGGGGTGGCTCAGACATTCTCCTTCCATAGAGGGGAGGAGGCACTCCAGGACTTGATAAGATTGCCGCCCAGTGACTGATGCCCGTGGGGAGGTTCCACATTGTATATTTCAGAACTGGGACCTGCTCCCCAGAGGCCACCCTGAGAGGAACCTCTGTGTGGCATTCTAGCCAAAAGAAGGACATTGCCACGGAGGAGTGGGGCGCTGTGGACAGTGTCCTCACACCACTTGGGGTCTGTTGCCCTATTAAAAGTGCTGTGTTCTTCCATCTCGGCATCTCAAATGCATTGGGCTCTTCCACAGTCTGTTTTCAGGCGAATGCAGCAGCTCAGGTGCCCTGTCCATCTTCCAGTT